TTGTTGCATTTCCTTACTTTTTTGTACGTAGTAAACTTTCCAGTTTTTTTACCATGTTTGTGATTTTGAGCTCAAAGTGTAAATTGGCTCAACAAAATAGAAGAATAGAAAGCACCATTCAGATCTAATGACATCGAATCTGGCATTTCTGGTATTTTGGCCAACTTGTCCAGGCTCAATGTGCACATGGCTAGTGCAATGTCGACCATTTGATTAAAAGTCTACCCTCGAAATTAGAGGCGCTGCACAAAATAATAGAACCAAATGGTCGATTAATAGAACCAAATGGTCTAAATCGACGTCAATCTAAAGGCTTATGGCCAGTGCATGAATAAGTCATTTCAAAAGCAATCAACAGCTACGGCAAAGTTAGCAGTAACTTCCCAACTAAACCATATGCAGTTCAAAATTTGCCAATTATGTACTACTAGTGACATGCTAACAGAAAACAACTCAAGTGTCCAGATATTCGACAAGAAGCCAAAACATGCAAATAAACCAAATCACAAGTCAAGACTTGATACTTGGGAAAGTAAAAAATTCTCATTACAGATTAGTCCAAATTCAATATTCGTTACTTATCCAGCGCATCGAGTGACATAACCCAGTTCACTACAATAACATGCTCAATGACAATAAACATTTGTAAATGATTTTAAAATTAAAGATCAACGTACAACTACAGCATCCTAGGCATATTCATTGGAAGGTCCAAATGAAGAACACTGTTCTATTATTGCATCAGTGATCAGACTCTGAATGCTCTTACCCATGATTTTGAGTTACCATAACTTGAGACGGACTACGAACATTATCATCACAGAAACCGGGGTGCATTCATCTGTTAAGAGAAACAATCAGACAACATAAATTTTTCTACACAAACATCATAAAAATGATTCCAACAAGAAACACCAAAAGAGTTCTAGAAGTGATTTCACAAATAAAAAAAAACTTGTACTATGACCCCAAGAATGAATCGACTTCCAGTCCCTAAATGGACCATAGTGCTCCACGTTCGCGCTACATGTTCAGTGTCAGAAACCCAAGAATTTTTCCAGACGTTAACCTTTGAAATCCTACTCAGCATTTACAAAATCTAGGAGTTTTGGTTGCCGGATGATTCTTTAATGCCAACGGAAGCTAACTAATCAGATTGCCAGTGCAATCATATACTAGAAACTCAATTTAGTGTCAACGAAGGAATGCTTTCCATCTTAAAAACTAATCGCCGACCCTGAGTTGATTTCCGTATTTCAAATGCAATGACAACCAAAGTAAAACATGAACATATCAAAGACTCTGTCATGACACTACCCAGAATGGAACTTACCATCAAAAGGAAACAAGACGAGTTTGATACAATTGCTGAATTAACACTTAGTTTGATGT